TTCTTAATAATAAACTTCTTTTTTCTTTCTTTTTTTGCGAAACCGGGGATTGAACTCAGATCCTTGGTTTGCCAGTCAAGCACTTATCCTACTGAGCCATCTCCCCGGCCAATAATAAACATTTTAAGTTAGCATTTTGTTAACTATTAGAGATAGCACTTTCTTTCTTTCTTTCTTTCTTTCTTTCTTTCTTTCTTTCTTTCTTTCTTTCTTTCTTTTGGTGGAACTGGGGATTGAACTCAGGCCTTTGCGCTTGCTAGGGAAGCACTTATTCTACTATGCCATCTCCTTGGCTGAGATAGCAGTTTCATAACATATTTCTCTATAGAGTTCTATTTCTTCTGGTTTGTTAATTAAAAGTCATATTTTTCTATGATAAATGAAGAGAATAATAGATTATTTCATGTCAGGCTTTGGAATCTCTCCTGGAAAAGAAGCTGTCACCAAAAAAGGTGAAGAAATGTTTCAGTGAAATTCAGAGCCAATTTCCTATTGGTAGCCAAAGGACTCTAGAAAAATGGCCAAGGACATTGCCAAAGAGTGAGAGGACACTCTTCATAGCAAAGGAAACAGTTCCACAGGAAGCAAACCAACCTTCAGTGGCAAAGAAACTTCTTGGTGGTATGTGTTTTACAGTGTTTATTGTGAGGTAATTTATTATTTGAAATTATCCAGACTATAACAGTTAGTGCACTAAGGGGAAAACCAAGAATTAGACCTTAGTCCACAATAGCTGCATTATAACTAGAATCAGTAATATCACACAAGATGCTTCCTTAGGCTACAATCTAGAGTATTCTATAGAGGAGTGCAAAGAAAGAAGATTAGCTTTTCTTTTATTATAGCATTGAGTTTATTTTGTACATATGTACACACATATGTGTGTGTGTGCGTGTGTGCGTGTGTGTGTGTGTGTGTGTTTATACATGTCGGGATGTGGTAAAGGCTGGAGCTCAAATCCAGGATCCACGCACGCTAGACAGTCATATACCACTAAGCTATACCCCGTTTTAAGATTATTATATTTTAATGAGAGATTTACAGTATACATATTCCTACATTCATTTGATATATTTATACTTTTCTCACCTAAGTAGTAAATACTATTCTGGAAGGTGGAATTGCTAGGTTATAGATGATGCATTTATTTATTTATTGACTTACATTTTGGGTGAAATTACTTGATTTTATTTTATGCTAGGTGGTGGGCACAAAGCAATTCTCCTTAATAAAGTTGACAATTAACTTCACTGAGAACATTTTTAATAATGCTAATTAAAAAAAGTGTTCATCTTTTTTAAATATACCACAGCTTGGAAAACAACATTTAGGAAACAAAAGTCAATGTAAAATGACAGAGTAAAACAGCTACAACAGTACAGGTTTTTTTTTTTTTGTTTTTTTTTAATGTAGTTCTTTTTTTTTGGCGGAACCGGGGATTGAACTCAGGCCCTTGCACTTGCCAGGCAAGTGTTTATTCTACTGAGCCATCTCCATGGCCCCAACAGTACAGGTTTTTATGGCTCAGATTTTGCAGTTTTTTTACTGCATCTTCAGTGTCAGAAATCTGCTTCTTCTGCTGGCTCCACTGCTCTGGATTTAAAGAAATACCTTTTTTTCCTGGTTTCATTTCATTCTCTAATACCAATTAGCACTTTCCCTTTAAAGTCCCGGACCCTGACGTATCTCATTTTCCCAATCTGAAACATGCTATCATCTCTGCTGCTGCTGCTCTTCTTAAAAAGTAACAGAAGTTTCACCAGTCTTCTTCTTTGCAGGCTTTTCTGGATCAACTTGCTTCTTCCTCTTTAACTTTTTGTCAGCTTCACTGTCAGAATCACTGTCTGAAGAGCTTGAAGAAACAAGTTCCTTTGATTTAGGCATTGCTCCACTGCTGCAGTCATCCTAGATGATACATTTAAACAAATCCC